TGATATAAGTCGAAGAATTGTAAGGATCAGAGTTTATTGAGTACTTGTTTCATTAACAGTCCACAATTAAAATACTAAATACAATGGATTTTAAGTCCTTTAGGTTTCATAGTAATTACAACATCACTTAACAGTTAGGCTGCTCTTTAACCGGTTACATTCTCCAAATCTATTTATAAACTGGTAAATATATGTTAACTAGTAAATAGATTATAAGCAAAGATGGATAGTGGCTAGCAGTGGACTCCAGGACGCGCGTTTCGTCCTGTTTGGGATTCGTCAGCTGGATGTACCTGCATCCCAAAGTTGATTTTCACTCTGGGACTCGAACTCAGTACCGTTCGCTTCAAACGCCATCACGTTATCCACTTAGCTACTTGCTTATGCAATGGGTTGAAGTTTAATTCACTTGATATTGTTTGTACTTAAATCTTCCCATTGATGTTTTAGGCAATAACGAGGCATACACACAGTATTCACATATGCCAATAAGCAACTGATCAATTTCAGTCCTAAAACATCAATGGGAAGATTCAAGTAAAAACAATATCAAGTGAATTAGTAAATAGATTGTTTTAATTATCTTACCAATAGTACAATTAAAGAGAACTTTATTTTTGTGGGCTCTTCTTTCCAATTGTTGCCATGTACTATTCATTCTTTTGATGTATGGCTCTAGTTCCTGGAGGAATATGTTCTTTGGTCTATCTCTTTTCCTTATGCCTTGAGGATTTCAAGTTAGGGCTTACGTTGTGGTGCAATTTGACGATTTCTGCCATATGTGTCCTATTCATCTCCAGCATCTTTTTCTAATTTTATCTTCAGCTGAAAATTGGTTTGTTCTCTGTCAAAGTAGACGGTTTCCGGTGGTTTCCATCAGCCGGTTTTGAAGTATCTTGTGTAGACAATTTTTTATAAAAACCTGTACATTTTTAATGATGGTTGTTTTAATTCTCATATATATGCTGACGTAGTATTATACCTTCAAACTTACGAATTTTATCATCGAAGAAATATCTCAGTCAAAATACTCACACAATCCCTAAACGAAATAAAAATAAAAACCGACTCACTATTCATAAACAATTTTTTATGATACGTTCGTAAATTAAACTATTCATTCAGCAAATTGAAAATGAAGTGGTACGAAGACTATGCGTGTGTCTCTTCCAATTGTCACACCGTACACATCAGCATACCGAAAGAAATAATCAGTGATGAAAATCAAATACTTTGAAATGAAAATGAAAATTTAAGATATAATCATAAAGAACTAAACAAAAGTGCCGTCTTTGGAGGATTTTAGTCTTTTGAGCTAAGCTATTTGACCAGAATGTCACCAAACTACTGTACGAATCTTACCCACTCTTTCAAGAAAAACAGGATGTAACAGTCATAAATGAATTTTTTATAAGCTAGTGAAAGAATAAGTTTAGTGACGTCATCGTATCAGATTCTAATTCATATCATTTAACGTGTCTAACTAACTATAAGCAATATAATAATAAGAAACGATTCCCACTGAAATGTAATCTGTTATAACAAACAAAAAGTTGTTATATAAAATAGATGGAGTAATACTAGCAGTGGAATGGAAGGCGTTTGTTTCGTCCTATTTCCAACTCATTAGACGCATGTACCTACATACCAGATTTGATATTCATTCTAGGGTTCTAACCCAGTAGTCTTCGTTTTCAACACCAACGTATCATTCACTTAATGAATAAGTTAAAATAGTCACCAACTTGTACAACAGGTATGAAGTTTTATTTAATTTGTAATGGTATGATTTGTCCTTTTGTTAAGTGACATTTGATAAACCAAAGTATTATTTCACTCTATATAACCTAATTATCTATTATTTTATCGTCTGTCTAAAATATGTTTTTATTGATTAATGTTACATATTTCATCTGTATCCATATGGAAATTTATAGTTTTAATTGACTTTCTACAATTTTACAACGTATTTCAATGTTGTTGTTTTTTTCTGAATAAGGGAAAATTAGATTTATATCTTGTTTACTGTTATTATGATTCAAAATATATAAGTTTAAGAATTCCATTAAAATCTATTGTCTTCTTATTTCATAATCAGTGGAAATCTAAAAATCAGTTCTTTCTAAAAAGAAATATGATAATATATCTATGCATATGTAATATTCCTAAACTTGTTGACTAAGCAACTCAATAATTGATACCATACATTGTATGGTATTTTATCTTCTGTAGTCTTGAGTGCTGTTGAATGTATGAGGGGGTTATTACTTCCCAGTTGCCTAAACCGTGGAAGGGCTCTTTAGGAGGTACCTGGAAAGGAAATTGGATTAAAGGTGGTCTTAGAGACCCGAGAGCTGTCTTGACGTGGCGGTGAAGCTTGCCTATCGTGATGAACCAATTGAGCTATACTGGCTGCAACAATCGTTCCTCAAGGTAAGTCGATTGGAGAGCGGTAAGATTAAAAGCAGCGAACCCAAGGTCTGAAAAGAAAGTCGTACTGCCTACCGTACAGAGGTGTGACAGCAGTAAAGTATTTCCTTCACACAACCAGCATAATAGCGATGCTGCCTTCCCACAAGAAGGAGTGGTGTTAGAAAAGGTCGACCCTAAAAATGCACGGATATCTGTCTCTGGCGGTAAGGTCTCAACAAGTACGGAGCTAACACTGAGATTACTCACAGAAATTCGTGTGTGACCGACCTCAAGCAGTTATCCCTTGTGCACCGTGGTCACGCTCTCAGGTCTCTAAGACCACCTTTAATCCGATTTCCTTTTCAGGTACCTCCAGAAGAACCCTTCCATGGTATGTGCAACCAGGAAGTGATAAGCAACGGAAATGGTTGGAAACTCTAGGTGACATGCCTCAGAATCGATCACAATGGCGTCATTGTGTACACTCTGTCTTCCGTTAAACTATGAGATTAAAATAGCTTCATATCTTTCTTTTTACGAACTAATGTCCTTATACACAATCTTTCTTTTATATATTACCACCACTGAATTAACTACTTCTATGAATCCGGTGTTCATCTAGTTGTGTTAATGAGGTATGGCAACTTGGATCAATGCATATATGTGCCTGGTCCTGCGTTGTAGCTGACTGACTGACTTAGTGCTTCCAGGTTTTCCATGGTGGTCTAACTTTAATGGATTCATGATCTCAACTATTGAAATCTTATTTTTCTTTAGTATAAATTTAATTTTAAATAGAAATTCAGAATAAACATATAATTTCCGTTAACTCTAAAATCAAGTGTTTCGTTTCAAATTTTTAACTGAATAACTTTGATCTTTGACTGTTTACTTTATTCTGCCAAATAAATTTATCATAGATGGTTTCGTTAGGTATTTTGCTATAATTATTTATTTACAAGCTATTAATTGGTTGAGCGAACTCAGTAAGAGTTCCCTGTGAGTTTCTAACCCATGTCACTCAGTATCCGAATAAGAAATGAATAAATGCTCTATAAGATTCGCTACTATTCTCCTCTGAGACTGACAGATCTATATCAAATGATCATTTGCTGTTATATCGTTTTGTCCTGAATTCTGAATAAAGATGATCGATTAAGTTACAGTATAATTACGTCACAGTATTCAAAGATTAATTTCACTCTTTCCTAATACTGAATACTTAAAAGCAATAGGGATTAGTTTATGTGCATACCAACTCAGCATATGTGGATAGACACCCATTCAAAACCAAAGATATAACGTATGACAATGGGGTCTTATTACATTGGTTGGACCACCTAGCTTACAACTACTGCTTCACAGATTTAAGCATCACTTCATCAAATCCAGTTTCAATAACTAGGTTCTACCCTCAAATGTAACCAATAAAGTACGGCTTAAAGCTAATGACATAAGTCTATTGTGCAGATGACCTAAGTTTCAAAAAGCTGGATCAACTTTGTGTACTTCGTTGATAAAGAGATTTTCATACCACTGAGTAGATTTTCATGTTTTAATTATGCGAGCTGTATAAAGTTTACCACTTTTATGTAGGTTTCCATCAAAAAATGAAGTGAATTGAATAAATAAGTCTATGGAGAACAACTGTTCTTTCATATGAATTAATTGGCGTTTGATAAGTAAATAACATGAAATTCAAATTCAGGGTGATCATAAAGATATTCTGCATCATGAAAGATGAGAATTGTACATACCTAATAGTAAAAAAACTCAAGTTTGGTGTGTAGAAGAGTAGAAAACTGAAATGAAACATTACCTTCAGGCAGACAGCAACATCTCGAACGACATTATTGTGTTTATACCTTCTAGTGAGAGCCAGTCATCTCATGGTAAGAGATCTGTCTTGTTAACGAAGACCAAGGATTAACACTTCTAAAATCAACAAAACTCTATCAAAATGTCGAATACCTACAATACAATAAGAAACATGACGTTCATCAATAGCATGTGACTGATTAATGTGATCTTTGTATTCTACTTATTACGGTTCTTAGTCAGGTAGCAAAAATCACGCTGACACAGTACGACTCACGGTTCAATTAACAAATCCACTAATAGTTATATAAAAGGTAGAACTGAAACAATGCAGTTCATTATGGTAGAAAATAATAACTTCAAGACTAATACTTTCCAAAAAGTATGGAAAATTTTGGTATTTGTTTCTGCTCTCGCTTACTCATTTCATTTGTGTAATTTCGCAAGAAAACCAAATTTGTTTTTCAGTTCGCACAATTTTAAAGATGATCTTATAGTGATTAACAGTGATTCAGTGTCTATAAAATAGGATTGGATATTTGAAAGTGACCGTGATATTGTAGAAAGTGAGTGGAATATAGATAAGTAAATAGGGAGGTAGATAGGTAGGCAACTAAGTAGATGAATCTATTGTCTGACTATAAACAAATGAAAATGATGGAAAGGACAAGATGGTTAAATGTATGTTAGACAGACATATCCATTAGGTCAGTAACACATAAATTTACAGGTGTAATGTATATACCTTCATCTATGACTCGTCAAAGAAACAAATACCAGCACGTGAATTGTTTAAAAATAAATAAATCTTTCATACAGAGTATGAATATTCAGAATACAAGTTTAATAATAACAATTTATTTTTTAAATGGATCAAATTCACTTTTTAACACATGTAACCTTTATTCACAAAAATACAAATGAATATGTATGGAAAAAGTAGACCTTCCAAATATCCATTTATGCATTCTACCTATGACGAGTATGTTAAAAATACATATAATACAATTCGGAAGGAATAACAATATACATTTATTTCTAACAGTCCCATAACTATGTTTAACAATCCAGTATCTCGTTTATTGTCAGGGTTTGCTCAAGCTATAATAGAACTTGTAGAAGATGAAACTACTCCGGTTACTACTAATACGTATAATATAACACCTGGTCATTATACTACCATTAACAGTAATATTACTAATTACACCAATAATTGTGTCAAATCGACAGTTGTTAATGACAACGTTGGGAAAACTAGTGATGCACTCAATCATTATCAGTCGAACATACAAAATGAGACAAAGTTTCTGGACATGAAACAATCAAATAATGATATGAGATTGGTGGCTAGTCAAACACAACAACAACAAAACTTCCATACACTGTCATCAGCATCATCATTGTTACTATTATCAACTCATTCTGATTCAATAAACACTGACACAAACCTAAATTCAACCTATCCATCAATTATTAGTAATTCATCATCTTTATCCAAAGATGTAATAAGTACCAATGAACTAGATGCTGGGATTAACGTGAAAATAATTACTGATAATCTACATGAGCCTGAAAATGAGGATGTTGATAATGGTGATCATGATAAACATAGTTTGCATATTGACACTGACCATAATATCACTCAAGATAACATTTATAATCCAACTGATACAGATACTGATTCTTGTTTAACTGAACCACAAATATCACCAAACTATTATCATACAATGGATAAACGTTATAGTTTAGATGAATATGATTTGAAACGATTCGATTCATCTGTCTTACAATCGAATGAAAAAAAACTGAATAAGGAAGAAAATGAAAATGAATATGTAAATGGTAATCAGAATGAATGTATGATAAGTTTGAAAAGTATTTATGTTAAAGATAACATTTCTGGTAGGTAGTAGCTGTCAGTGATTTACAGGTTTCGATTATTACAATATAAAACAAAGTACAATTTTGATTGATACATAATGTTTAGTTAAGTGATAAAGGAACTTAAATGCGATATTCTTACATACAAAAGTAATTGACAAGATAAATATGTTTATAAGTTACATGAAGTATAGCTTAATGATCTTGTTAGAACTTAGAGATTATTTAATACTAATTAAATTTAAGACTTTGAATATTAGTCAACTTCCTGTCTATTTTAATCATAATAAATCCCCATAAATGAATTAATTGATGGATAACATAACTATTCATTTATTGAATATATGTTTGTAGTAGGTAAAAATTACAAACAAGTGAGGAAGGTTTAATTTGGGACTATTCATAATATTTTTCCTGGTTAGCGTTATTTAACGAGTTAGTTTTCTACGGGATTAGGTCGCTAACCCCATGTCCGACCCTCCTCCTTTATCCGGGCTTCGGACTGGCAGTAGCCTCAGAGGGGCTCAAAGCGGAGTTCATATTCATTAATTTATCCATATAACCCGTGATAATCGTTTTTACATTCAAGTATATGTTAGACAGTTGTCAAATGATAGACATAGTTATTTTGTATACATGTTAAGTTATTAGAATAAATTCATATACATGGTATGTGACTACTAGAAACTAGAGTAAATTTTAAAGATACTTTTTGATGACTGTAACATTTTTACTGTATGGATCATTTTGATAAATACCATACAACAACTGATCCCTTATAAAACTTTGTTTTTTTCAAGGACATATTTAACCATAAGTAATAACTTTTAAGTTCTTTCTATTTTTCAATAGAACCCTAGATAATATCAACTCTTTTTATAAATTATTTTGTTGATTATAATTAAATGTTTTGTCAACAAATACAGTTTTTAGTTAAAGACTATCATTTAACTTAACATAGTTTATGTTTTATTGTTAACCGGCCATAAGAACTATAACTTGACCTAGATTACTTAATTATGATTGAATTACTTCAACTAATCAACTAATAACCAATTAAAAATGATTCCAGAATATAAAAAAAACAGTTATCATAAGTTTCATAAATAATGTCATACTTACTTACTTACGCCTGTTACTCCTAATGGAGCGTAGGCCGCCGAGCAGCATTCTCCAATCCACTCTGTCCTGAGCCTTCTTTTCTAATTCCATCCAATTCTTGTTCATTTTTCTCATGTCTATCTCAATTTCTCGGCGTAATGTGTTCTTTGATCTTCCTCTTCTCCTCCTTTGGCCTTGAGGATTTCATGTGAGGGCTTGTCTTGTGATGCAGTTGGGTGCTTTCCTTAATGTGTGTCCTATCCACCTCCGACGCTTCTTCCTAATTTCAACCTCCGCTGGGATCTGATTTGTTCTTTCCTACAGTTGGTTGTTACTAATAGTGTCTGGCCAACGGATCCGAAGTATTTTGCGTAAATGTCATTGTATTTTAGTATATATCAACTAACTTATAAACTCATTTGTTTTATGCTGTTCCTAAGTGATGATTTAACTAAGTAAATGATTTTTTTGTAACCAATATTTATCTATTTGTTATACGATATAAGTAAGAATGCTAGTCAGAGGCCTATACTCCTCCACGAGGTGTAACAGGGGTAAATAAGTAAGTAGTTATGTGGAGTCCTCGATGTTTTGTCGTTGATATTTTTTGTTAGTTTACTTATTATACAAATACTGTCACCGTCAATGTCACTATTTATACTGCTTGAAACTTCATTCCAGTTTAATTCATTAAATACTCTCAAGCAATCACTGATTAATTACTGCATACATGTTTGTAAGAAAGTAAATATATTTTATCAAGAAAGTTGATGCTATACTTGTTTGGGAGAATGATAATAGGAGTTTTACACACACTAATCTAAAAATAGCTTAACATCAATGGGTTTCAAGCTATGTTACTATGCAATACTAACACAATGTTAAGTGAACGAAATTGTAAATTTCTATTTAATTATTCTCATATTTTATAAATATAGAACTAATTTTCACATAGATTGTTATCCTTATGTATTGAATAGTTTGTATATGTTCATTAAACAATTAAAGAACAATGAAGAAAATCAAATTGTAACATGTTATTCCACTTAAAAATGAATAGTCAATTACAAATGAAAATGTTTACAATTTCAAAATAAATAAATAAAAATTCTGCTTACTTATTAGTACTATCTACCTACCATTATATACAGTACTATATAATAAAAGGATATAAATTAGTTGTTTTCTGTAATTTCATTGTACAATGAATAGGTTATTTTGGAATTTAAATGTTGTATTGATACATTTTCTGTAATAGACATGAGTTTTAATTCATTAGTTTGATTGATAATTTTAAATTATAATTTGTAATTACAGGATAAGATCATCAATAATTCATGTTTATCTATCGTTTGGTTGTTTGTTTTTTAGTAAAATTAACATGGTATTAATAGGTCGTTGAATGTACAACGGTAAATTAACAATCAGTTAGTAATACTCACATTAGTACTAAAGAACAAATAGGTGGTTAATATCATTATGCGATTGTGAAGTGTTAGAAAGTAATGGACACCCGTTTCATCCTATAGGACTCCTCTGTAGTATGAATCCACAATCTTGATGAGGCTCTTGTGATTGGGGTGTTAACTGCTAGAGTAGTGAAATTCTTAAGCCCGTTATTGATTTGTTTCACTTATTGTTTATTTCACTGGTATCCTTTAAAATCAGTGGCCTATTTTGTTAATGGCATGATAACCATAAAAAAACCAAGAATTTAAGGTCTATTGGTTCATAATGTAATTTTAGTCTAGTTTGAACTCAGAAGCTGGAGTTAAGAAGCAGATTTTTTATTCTGCTATATCCGTCCTTGTCTCGAAAACTTAAATAATTGACCACATCGGATTATGTATTGAAAATCACAATTCACACACTAATCGGTTATAGATGATGTAAAAACGGAGAAACAGTGGGACAGTTTATTTACAATAAATCCGCAACGGCAAAACATAACACCTTATATAAATAAAACGAAAGTTTATCAGTAGTAGAATAAAAAAGTTACAATAGTCCAAGGATCCGTAGAAAAATTTTGAACTTTCAAACTTTCAAATTCTCTCTCATACAATATAATAATGGTAAAAATAATTGTAGTCATTAAAAGTTAGTAGAATACACTATGATTACCTATTTATTTACCCGTTTATTTTACACTGAAAATGTTTGGTAAACTGTTGTAGACCACAATTGATTTAGTGTGAATCACATACTAATCGGCACGTAAGTTGCAGTACACATTAAAAGTGATTACTCTATATCAAATGAATAATAAAGCAATAACATTTCCATAAATACTCAACGAAGTAAACAAGAATATGAAGATGTACGAGAAAATCCCGCACAAGATGCACATAAGCTAATAAAAAACTGATCAGTTACAGTCCTAAGCATCAATGGAAAAATTCAAAGAACCAATACAAGATGAATAAAATGAGATCAGTTTGTAGTTTTCTAATTGTACTAAAATCAAAGGCGAATAGATAATAGTTTATAATCGTGTGCATTTTAAGGCGAACCTAACATATATATATATATATATATATATATATATATATATATATATATATATTAATTGTAATAAAAACATTGATCATTGGCTTTACTTATTAATTTAATGATCCTTTAAATATAGCCATAATTAAACTATTCCCACAATATATATTTGTCAATAACTAGTAACAAAACATAGAATTTCCATCTTATTCCGTCTAGTGATCGCCAGCTAAATGTACTATAGGTAGTAATGCTATTCAAGTTTAGATTCAAACTTAGTGTTTATTATTTACAATGTCTTAATTTTTATTGCTTTTAAATCCGATAATATTCCATAGTTGATTTACATAAGTGAAACGATCAGTTCATGTATTACCTTTTTGATATCTTATAAAGAGATAATCTATTAACTGATCTTATTCTTTTCAACGAATGCATCTTCGTTTCATTGATTACTACTACAATCTATTATTTAATAATTCTATGAAGATCAATAACTGATTTTTTAGTTGTAACTCAATGTGTATCCATGTTTACTGAATTAAAAATAATAAAGAAAACCCAGTTAGTTCTCAATTTGATCAACTCAAGTAAAGCTGATCTATACTAAATATCCTTTGAACCCATATATAGATTCAATGTGTTTCTTTTTTTCTGTTCAAAACAAACATGCATATTTCTTCATACATACTTAACAATTAAATTGTTATAAAAATCTGATTAACATTTGGTTAAATATACATTGACTAGTTTCGTTTCTCTTAGTAAACTATTGATTAATGATTGATAAAACGTTATTTCGCTGATAGAAAAGATAAGTTTTCTAATATTCTATGTAGGCTTTTTTTGTTTGTCTTTTATTTTCCTGATTCAAAAAAAAACTAACCAACCATATCCATAACAAATGGATGATTGAGAAAATTGTTTATACTTTGTTTTGAATTCGTACTGTATTGAACGAGAACATAAACGAAGATAACCAAATGTAATTGAACATAAAATTACAGAACATCTTAGTAAAATTTGAGAACCATACAGTAAATACTTCATTTGGAGAATGTTCATTAATTGTCTCAAAATTCATTATTCCTGTATTTTCATTCTAATTGCTTTCTGTTCCCGTTCTTTCCTCCTCGATCTTCTCAACCTTCTGTTGCCAAACATTCTATTCCTGATTAACGCTACATATTACTTATGTCGACTTAAGTAGCACACACCACAATACATGCACATTTTGTGTGTTTGTATGTAGATTGTATTTATGTGTACCCAGGTATATATGTTTCTTTTTAAACATAGGATACGTTATTTAAATTGGTTAATTATATTACCTTTGTTTTTCATGACTTAAAGCTATATATTACACTATATTTGTATTCGTCAATAAAATGTTAAATTGGATCACATTTACGATGAAATTTATTTTAATTTTAAATATGGTTTTTAAGAGTTTTTCAATGAAGCAATTTTTT